GCTCAGACTCATGAACCATGAGATCATGACCTGAGCCAAAGTCAGACACTTAACTGACTGAGCCACCCAGGCGCCCCCAAAACTCGCGGAATCTTTAATAGAATTTCTATCCCTCCGGGGTGGACCCAACAAATGGCTCTCCCGGGAGCTGGCTGAGTGCCAGCCTCATCGGGCCCGCCTCATGGGGCATACACATGCAGCAGAAAGCCTGCTTGCAGCGGGCTGGGCCTTCGCCGGAGCCTGCAGCGCTGGGAGCTGGGGCCCTGTCAGGCCCGGAGGGTGCGGGGCATCTGCCCTCCATGTGGCTAAACCATCCCCAAATTGCCGTGTACTGAACTTTGTCACCAGCCTGCTTCTCATGAGAATGCTTCCCCCAGCCGGGAGGCACGGACTTTCCAGCTGGGCTGGCCCCTCTGGCAAACTGCACTCAGGGGATATTTTCAGATTCTGGGTGACATTCCCCTGCCCCTCTGCCTAATAGGTCCCAGACGCTCCCCTCCTCCCTCAACCTCCCTCCCTCTCGCTGTTCTCAACCACCCCGGCCTGCCTTGGGCCTCTCCGCCCGGTCACTACTCCTCTTGACTTATTATTTTCCTAATTTAAAACATTTTGTTCCCCCTTAACGGGATGGCTTGACAGGGGCCAGCATGAAAGAGGCTGTATCCTCCTGGCCGGACGGAGAGGCAGGCAGATGAAGGCAGAGAGAAGGAAGCCGGCTTTGGGAATGTGAGGAGCAAGGGGAAACTTAAGGAGTCTTTCTTGGCCGAGCATAAAAGACGCAACAGAGTAGCAGCTGTGTTAACGTGGCCAGGTCGCTAGGGGCCCGGCGGACACACCAGGCCCAGCTGCGGATCCCACCGGCCCTGGGGGTCTCGTGACTCATGTTCGGCAGACATGCTTTTAGCTCCCTAACTTGCTGCTGCCTCTTCCCCACCTTTCCTCCGCACCCATCCTGCCCCCTCTGTGAATTTGCAATTCTTGGCTGGCATGGGCTATTGCTGAGGCGGGAGGAGGGGGGCCGGACAGGAGAAGGAGACAAGAGATAAGTGCAGAGGGAGGGAGATCCCTGGGCACAGGAGGGCGGGGAGGAGGAGGGAGCGGGCAGCAGACCCAGGAGGGTAGAAACGCCTGACTCACCCGCTTAACAGAAACCAGGCCAGAGAGACATCAGGCAGGGAACCTAGTGAGAAATGTCGTTCGCCCCTGCTGCTTCCTGCTTGTTTTCCCTTGCATTTCATGGGAGCGTGGAGAGGACAAGGAGCCTGCTAATAACCATCATCTCCTGAGGTTCTGTCGCACAGCTGGCCTTTGGCCGTGTTGCCTTGGTGCCCACGGCCCTGTGTCCTGGAAAGCAGCCGCGTACCCAGGTTGGGGCGGGAAGCGAGAGGGGACTATTCTCGGGAAGTTAGGGCCCCAGCCGGGCTGCGCCTGGGGCCCAGACCTCTGGATTTCTCATCCAATAATGCAAATATGGAGATGAAATAAAGGGGGAAGAGATTATATCGGTGAAAGTGGGCCAGGAAAATACAAACTCCAAAGACCAGATGGAATCCCCTCGGCCGAAGAATTTTTGGATGCTGCTTCTAAGGCAGCTCTGCCTGTCCTTCCAGCAGTGACACTGACCCTGGCCTTTTCTCTGTCTCTTTCAGGACCTCCTGTAAGTAACTCCAGCCGCCGCCCGGTCTTGCACATCTGAAAGGCCCTGCTCCCTGCTGGTAACCCGGGCCCCGGGTGGGGGAACCGACAGCCGGCCCCACTGTCTTCCAGGGGCGCCCCTGGATCTTCCTCTGCAGAAGCCTGCGGGGTCCCTCCAGAATGTTGACACAGGGAAGGAGGCCGCCATTTTGCCTTCCAACCACTTCTGCACCTCTCAGGGCGAGACAATGGCGGCTCCGGGGGCAAAGTAGGTCCCAATTTCAATCTGAAAGGCTGGCTTGCCCCATTGTCAGCCCAGCTCCTTTGTCCCCAGAAGAAGCAACTGGACTCAAAGAAGCTCCGGGTATTAGCAAAAAGAAAGAGATAATCTCTTCTCAGTTCTGGTCCTTGAAAGTCTCCTGGCCTTTCGGTAAACAGGCCAGCGCGTGGCTCTGAGCGTGGACTTCTCCTGAGGACGTGCTGTCCACGCTGCTGTGTGGCAGCTCCATTCTGGCCCACTTACCTTGGGCGGGTGGTCGTGGCTGTTGGTGGTGGTGTTTTGATGTAGGGGATCAATTTCAGTGGGCTGGGTTGGGAGACAATACCAGTTCCAGCTTGTCAGGCTTCTTCCCCTGGCGTCGCCCTAAGGCCCAGGGCGGGGCAAGGGAGCCCAGTCATTTCCAGAGAACCTGAGAAGAGCCCAAAGAGACTGGCTCCCCGAAGTAATGGATCCAGAGAATAGGAGCACGTCTGCTTTGAGAGCAGCATCTGATACCTGGACAAAAGGCCCAGAGGTTGCCGGGGGAGCTGGGGATTGGAGTAGAAAGGGCGGAGCCCTCACATCAGATCTTTGTCAAGGTTCCCGAAAGCTGCTCTATGCTCACCCTTCCTCAGAGCAGCCACTGCCACACCGGTTTCCCTCTCGGTCTGTCCTGCGAGAGCGGCCGGCCCGATTTGCCATTATTTGCTATTCCGTCGGGTCCCGAAAGGCACATTGAACCCGTGCTGACGGCCCTGCCCCGCTCTCTGACTGCCGGGTTACAGAGGGAGGAAAATCGTGTCAGTCTCTGAAAGCAGGGGGATGATTTATCGTGGCATGTTTTAGATGTCAGATCTCAATTCCTGTCATCAATCTTCCAAAATAAACTCCACCATAGGAAACTTCAACAGACCACCTGCTGGAAATGGGCTGCTTCCCCCCCTCTTCTTTTTGACGAAGCCAAAAAGAGTCCTCACTTCCCCCACTCCTCGGGCCTCCCCACCCCACACCCGGCCCCACGGCTGGGCTGACCTGCCAGCGGCAGCTCTGGGTCCCTGCCCTCACCAGAAAGGCCGCTTTCTGAGAGCCCGTGCCGGCCTCGCCCCCAGACCGTTCCCAGCCACAGCAGGTGCTCCCACCCCCGGGGGGTCTGCACAGCGTCTGTGTGTGTCTTACACCTTCACTCAACTCTGGTTGAAACCACAAGGAGGAAATGGGAAGCTGGCCAGGGTGGGAATCGCCTCCTAGCCCTGTTCTGTCTGCTTCCTGCAAAGGAAGAATCCTGTTGAGGAAGGCAAGAGATAGGGAGATAGATGGCAGCTGGTCACAAACCTGTCCCCACCCTCTGAGTGTCTCTTTGGAACCCCTCCTGGGGTCGCTCTGGACTCCAGTTGGAAGACCCAGGCTCCTGTGGGCACGGGATGGCCAGTGCCCGGAGAACACAACCACGGAGGATGGATTTAAGTAGCAGCACGAGTCACTTAATGGTAGAAACCTTGTAGTTACCTCTACTCCACTCTTTGTGTCCATGGCAGACATTGCTAATCAATCAGGAGGCTTCTTAACATAATGCTTGACTCAGTCACTACCAATCCACTGGAGTCTGCACTCAAGCTGACACCTGCTGGCCATGCCTGCTGTGGATTTCAGAGAGAACTTCTTAATGGAGACTGTGAGATCGAAACAGATGACAGAGGGAAGTAGGGAGGTGTCTTTCTCCAGAGAAATACAGGGAAATATGTGATGGCCAGCTGCTACCCTGACTGAAGGTGATCCTTGCTGAAATACTAGCTAACACTTAGTACACGTTTGTAAGGAGGCAGCCTAATATAGTGATTACAAGCATGGACTGTGGCACCAGACTGCCTGGGTCCAAATCCTGGCTCTTCTAATCGTGTAACCTCGGGCAAGCTGCTTCACCTCTCTGTGCATTGCTTTCCCCATCTGTAAAATGGGGATAGTAATAGTATGTGACTCTTCTAGGAATTGTGAGGAATATATATGTAATTGTACGCGCGTGTGTGAGTGTGTGTGTGTGTGTGTGTGTGTATTTTCTTCCAGTTAGAATATATTAACGCATCTAAATCCTTGGTGATCCACAAAGATTCCAAGAAGCTGTTAATTTTAAGGGGGAAATGATTATTCTGTGAGCTTTCATTAATTTATTTATTATTTCATACATTTCCACCCACCTTACTCTAAAAACTATTTCAGGGTGATTTACAAACCGGACACGGAAATAGTGGAGGAGGGTGGAGAGCAGAGGCTCAAGCTCAGTGAACACATGGGGACAGGCCCTGCGCCCGTGCGTGCCATTACCCAGCATTCCCCAGGGACTCCCTGACCGGGCCCCACCTTGGTTCTCTAGGAGGGAGTCACTGCCCCACCGCCTCCGGGATGTCCTCAGGAGCAAGGGCCGGAGCAGGTGACTTACTCCCAGTGTTGCCTGGGTTTGTCCGAGCCCTGCAGCAGAAGGATTCGTCTTCCAGTGAGCACCCTGAGACCCACCCCAGGTCATGCTTTGGGCTTTGCGTGAAGAGCAGGATGTCTAGAAGGAGAGAACCCACATCTGGTAGCTAAGTCTCGGCAGGGAGAAACCGAAGCCAGCTCCACGTACCTCCTGCCTGTGCTCTTCTCTAATTGTCGTAATCGCCAGCATTTATTTAGCACTGTTGTGTGCCAGCCCCTGTGCTATACATACATTATCTCATTTAATCCTAAGAAGTAGCTATAATTGTTCTCCCATTTACAAGGTGAGGAAACTGAGACCCAGGGAGGCCCGGCAGCTCGCTTATGGCACCGCCCGCGACGTGGCAGAACCGGGATTTGAGCACAGACAGGCTGACTCCGGAACCCATGTTTGTGACTCAGTCCTATTGTCTCTGTTACCGTCTCTCCTGGACTCCGTGTCCCAGCCATGCCAGGGCCGCCTTTCAGTTCCAGAAGCCCTCTCCAGGTGTTTCCTTCCCTTTACAAGGTGCTACGTGATGCCCCGAGAGCGCTACTTGAGCAGTTTCTCTGCCACCTTCTTGTAGCAGACCCATCTGGAAGCTGAGTGCCAGAACAAAAAAGACATGATTTTCTTGGAATTTGCTTCGTTCCTAAGCTCTGCATATTGCTACTATGGCAATTATTAGCACTAATATACATGTTGTCGAATGTCTCCCGCTTTTCAGTGGGATTTCGGATCTATTACATGAGCCTTTAGTCTATGCCCCGAATTGTGCTAGACAGGAGCACTAGGAAAATAGGAATAAAGGGTTTGAGAAGGACACCGATGTGGTCCATGAGGACAGGCTCCTGGAGCCACACGGGGTCCCGTGTATGAGGGGGACCAGGTTCCTGCCTCATGCCCTGCCCCGGCTCATCATGGAGAGGTCTGATGCTGGTTGGAAGCATCAGAGGAAGGAAGTCCTGCCTCCTCCGCCATCCCAACAGAGGGGAAGAGGCCCCCCAGGGTGCCGCCCCTCTCCCACCCCCTCGCTCCCTGGTCATGCTCCCTGGAGCCAGAAGATGCATCTCCTGGTGGACCGGCTTCGTCGGAGCAGGCATCTGACTTCTTCTGTGTGGTAGAACGGGGAAGAACGAGCCCCGACCCCCTCGGGCCCTTTCCCAGGCCAGAGCCGGCACGCAGGCCTGGCTGACAGCATATCGCACTGGCTGAGACCAAAAGGCTCAAAGGAAGGGGATGTGGTGGTGAGGCCCACAGCCTTAATGATCCTTGAGTGATGAGAGGCAGAGACACGGGAGGTGACATCCGTGTCTTTCTTTTCCTTGCACCTACCCTGGGCCTGGAGGAGACCTCTATGAATGAGTGAATGAATGAATGAATGAATGAATACGAGAACTGAAAGGAAGCTTAGTAATCAAGGCCCTACCTTCATTTTGTTCATAAAATAACAGAGGTTCCTAGAGCACGAGTGACGTCAAGGTCACACAGCTGGCTGGGCAGGGTGGAATGCTTAGGTATTACTATCCCTTGACCTTTGTAAACCTCACTCTTTCCCGCTTTATTTCAGGGTCCCGCTGGAAGACCCGGCCTCCCAGTAAGTAGTTTGCATTTCTTCCTTCCTTTGTGTCTCTCTTGCCTGCTCTCCTCCACTAAGGGCTGGCTAGGTTGGGTGGTTGCTTTCCTCCAGGCGTATCTGGGTGAGAGTCCAGTACCTCTAAACTCGAAAACTTCTCCTGGGGCCCCAAGCAGGCAGATGACAGCATGAAGGCCCTTCTAAGGCTGGACCCGACCTCTAGACTGAAGGCCCGCTAAGGGGGTGCTGGAAGGGGAGGCAGCTCACTGGCCTTCCTGGGTATCCTGCATACCAGCTTAGCTTAAGACCGCTGTCTCTCCTTTGTCCTGTGACCTCGGGTAAGAGTAGACTCAAAAACTTTGTTTCCCCTCCCCGCCAGTTACCATTTCTGAATGCTAGAGAGGTTGTGCCAAGGAACCCTGGGGACTTTGGAATAAAAGGGGAAGAAATACTAATAGCCCTCTCTTGCTGAGATCCTAAAACATGCCAGGCACTATGCTAATCACTCTTCATATATTTGATTCGGTCAACGACTCAGTGAAATGGCTATTAGTATACCCATTTTATAGCTGAGGAAACTGAGACCCAGAGAGGTAAAATACCTTGTCCAGTTGTCCAAGCTTCAGTGGAGACCTGTGGGGGGGGGGGCCCATGTTATCACACACCATTTCATACCTGTTTCCCGTAGCCTCTGCTTGACGTTTGAGAACAATCTTTGAAGTCTTCACAGACATTGCTCCGCGCGATGTAGCCTGGGGCAGAGATGCGTTGAGTACTAGATATCATGGGGCCTCAGATGTCTGGTGAGTCAGGCAAGATGCTGGAGCCAGGCAGAGGGCCAAGGTGGGGTATGGAGGGTGAGCGAGGGCTGGCACCGGGCTGCCCTCTCTCCCTTGCGCCAGGGGCCGCATCCGTTGGAGTCCAGACCCTCCTGTGCATCCCAGTTTCTCCTCTTTTAGACATGAATTACGCTGTAGCCTCTTGATAATCTAGCAGCTTCTAGGATTCATGTCCAGCAGTGACTTTCTTAATGAAATGCATGTGGGAGAGTGTTCGGCCTTGAAAATGGAAACTCTCCCAGTTAAGTGTGAGCCCCGGAGCAAAGAAGGACAGGTCAGTCGGTCCCATGAAACCCAAGGAGGGGAAAAATCAGATGACTGGGGAGAACGTGGGCAGACTTTGTTTTTTCTGACAACTTCCACCTTTAAAAAGCATCTGGGGGCAGTTCACAGAGCAGGGGCTGCTTCACAGAGTTCCCAGTCTCTGGCCCTTCCATGCCTGTCCCTAACCCGAGCATTTTATGGCCAGGACTGCAAAGAACATTAGTTTTAAAAAAAGAAACAAAAAGAAACCAGTACACACGTCCTGCAATATCACTCAAAAGCCCAAGAGTGAGTGGGCCGTGGGGGGTGGCACAGCCAGTGTCCAGCAGGCCCTGGTGTCCTCAGCAGGAAGGGCGGGCCACTCGTCCACGGAGGGAACCTGGGAACGACCCACGAAAAGATTTGCTGCTCCCAGCCCCTTGTCAAATGCAAAGAGCGTGATGTACCGACACGCTTATAAAATTCCCTTGCCCGCGGCCATGCTGGGCTCACTAGCTGTAGACTCCGTTTATGCGACACTCACCAGGTGCCACGTCCTGGGAGAAGGCTTTCCCGGGACCCCATTTCATGGCGTCCTCCCAGCAGCCCCGTGAGAGAGAGACACGGGTGCTCAAGGAGGCTACAAAAACAGATCCAGGCTTATAACCAACACTGCTGCCCCACATGTCTTGCAAAGGGTGAAAGTTTTACTGGAGACCCCGTTGGCCTGTGTGTGTGACAAGGACCTGACTTCAGAGCCGCATGCTGTTCTCTGTGCGTCCACACACATCTTGAGATGCTAGCTGTCCCTCAAGGCATTTTGCCTCGGTGGGGTCAGCAGATGCAGAATCACCCCAGAAATGCCCACCCCCTTCAAGGAAGCCGCAAGCCCAGCTGTCTCCTGCCTAGGGAGCCGGGGCAGACACCATCTAATTTTTGGCCCCCGTTGCTTTCCGTCCTTCCGGACTCGTAGCAAACCGCAGGCCCCGCCCCAGATTTCATGATGTCTTCACACATGCGACTGCAAAACAATATTTTCTAGCAAGAAGGAGAGGAACAAAACTTACTAAGCAGATTTCCAGAGTGAGAAGATGTAACCCCTGGCTACAAAACACAGTGGTTCCCTCCGAGCAGCTCACATCTGTGATGCAGGCACATCCCCATGGCTCACCGTCCTTCACGTCCCTGCTGGGGGTGCAGGAAGGGCATGGAGAAGGGCTCCCTCGTAACCTTCTCAGACAGAGCGCCTGGGGAGGAGCCGGGGGACATGGGCACTGCGCCCCAGCTCTAGCACAGATAAACCACTCACCTGTCACGTGGGGCCAGCACTTACCCTACTCTGGGCCTTGGAGTTGAACTGATCAAGGATATGGCCCATCCTGGCCATAGCTGGAAGAGATTGTGACAGCAGAAGTCTAAGAGAGGAAGGGCCTTAGACCCCTTATGAAACACATAGGGAAACGGAGGCTCAGGCCAGGGACCAGACTCCTGCATTAGTGCACTTTCCACAGCACCGTGCCCGATGGGGTGACTGCTTGCCCAACAGTCCTTGGGGGCTGAATGGGCAACTTCACCCACATGACCCCTGGCCATCATCCCAGTTGGCCTACGTAAAGCAGGTCTGGGGTGCACAGCTGGCCCACGGGGTCCTTTATATGCTGGCCCGGCTCCAGCCACATCTAATCGTTTCTGCCTCCTTTGTCAGGGGGACAAAGGTGCCATTGGGATTCCTGGACGTGTGGTGAGTTGGCGCATTCGTACCTGCTTGGGTGGCCATTGCTTGCTTCTTCGTGGTGGCCTGTCCTCCAAACCATGGCAGTGTCCCCAGCCCCAAGGAGGGGGTCAGGCCTCTGTCTCTCCCCCTACCCAGGCCTGCTTCAGAGAGGGACAGCAGGGAAGAAGGGAAGAAGAAGTTTTATTCCAGTCCTTCAGACCTTGCAGTCTGACTTTCCTGAGGGCTCCCAGGGCAAAGGAAACACCCAAGAAATTGCACCGATCAAGTTCTTGGTCCATCGCCTCCTGGGTGACGGGATGAGGCCCAAGCCCCTCTTGACATCAGGAGGACTCCCACCCACGCCAACCCCCACCCCCAAGGCTCCCCAGAGGCTCCACACCCCCCAGCAAGAGCAGCAGAAAATGGTGAGAAACGCGGCCCGAGATGCCCCACGGAAGCCGCTGTGGAGCTGGCTTCCTGAGGCGCCTTCCCTAGACAGAGACTAGAAGCTGGCGGGGACAGTGTCTCCAAATCCTCACAGGGAAGCTGGGAGTTAAACGCTGAATGTTTCCTGCTGAACCCTTAGGTGAAGAAAGGGAAACAAGAATGTCCAGCAGGGAAGGTATGGAGCTGAGGAATGGGAAGGCCGGCACTAGGTCGCGGGTCCCAGCACCAGGGCCTTCCTTCTGGCTTCTAGAGGCCAGGAAGGGCAGCTGAGGCACCGCGGGCGGCCCAACGTAGTGATGCCCACATGCTGGCCTCACTGCCACCCAACGGGTCTAGAACATACGTGCCCAAGCTACTCTCCCGGTCTACCCCCGACTCCCCACCGGCCATCAGCCCCGACGTCCACCCTGGCTCCCCCGTGCCCCCTGACTACCCCCACGCCATCCTTCCGCGCCACTCACATGCCTTGCCTCATCATAACCTCACCTCCTCACCGGCTTGGCCTTAGGCCTCGGTGTGGCCTACTTGTGCCTGGCGTGAGCTCAGAGAAAAGGCGGCCACATCACAGCTAACACCCGAGAGCGCTCACTGCGTGCTGGGCGTTGATGTGCTGAGAGCCTCACCGCATTAGCGGGCCCCACAGGCGCTGCCTGAGGCAGGCGCGATTTCCACCCCCATTTTTCAGATGAGAAAAATCAAGGCTCAGATGTTAAGTGTCTTTCGCAAGCTCCCGCCCGGCCCTGTCCCTCTGCTTCAGTTCTCTACCTCCAAACCCTGCCCCCCTCGCCCCCCTCCGAGCTGTCACCGAGGCAGGGAAGGAACAGCCAGCCAGCCTTTCTCCGGAGCTCGCCGTGCGTGGGCCTGGGCCGGCACGTTCTCCACCATAGCCTTGCAAGAACCCGTTCTATTGATAAGCATGTTGAGTCTCAGTTTGCCCAGGATCGGGGAGGAGCTGGGGTTTGTACCCGAGCTGACTGTCAGATGCCACAATCCTCGCTCCTAACAGGCAGGTTTCAGGGGTCTCTAAGCCGAGTGCCCCTGCCAGCCTGCAGGGGGCGACTGCAAAACGCAAAGTCCTGCCCTGCTTCTGCCGTCCTCCTTGGGCCCTTGTGGACACGTGCCCCCAGGAAGTGTCCATCCGAGCCTAGTTCTGATCCTCCGTGGCGGGGGCAGAAGGGCGGGCCCCAGGAGGTCTCCCCATTTCTTTCTACACAAGGCTATTTTCCAAGCCAGTTGGGGGCTTTCTTGCCACCTGGGCTACTTAAATGTGACAGTGGACCCATTTGGCTGCCCAGCAGGCGTCCTAACCTGAGCCACCTGATAAGGACAGTGGGGGGGGGGGGCGGCCA